AAATCAAATTTGCAACGGAATTGATCAAATGGTTTTTGAATGGTAGGCTCGTGAATATGATGTTTCTTCCCGAAATTTACATAGAGAAAGAACAAATCGCCGGTGCAAAAAATGACCAAGCCACGCGGAAATCTCCTGGACATATTACTGGGGTTAGGGCTTTAGGCCTTTTCATGTGCAAAGAAGACCCTCTCTAGTTGTACAAAATCGAATTTGCATTGGAATTGGTCGAATGGCTTTTGAACGGTAAGCTCGTAAAATTGATGTTTTTTTCCGAAATTTATATACAGAAAAAGCATATCGCTGGCAAGTGACCTAGCCATGCGGAAATCTCATGGACCTGTTCCTTGGGTTAGGGCTTTAAGCCTTATCATATGCAAAGAAGACCTCCTCAAGTTGTACAAAATCAAATTTGCAACGGAATTGATCAAATGGTTTTTGAATGGTAGGCTCGTGAATATGATGTTTCTTCGGTAATCGCTATTGACCCACCATTAGCGGTAGGTACATTACGGGGACACCAGTGAGGAGAGGTTACGGTAGAAACCGTAAGGTTACGGTAATAACCGTAACTCCGCCCTCTACATCCAACATGGCTACTGTAATAACAAAAAGCAACGATGAAGCTGAAAAAATGATTTTACAACTTGAACTTGAAACTTAAAACAGTGGACGATTTGTGGCAAGGAAAAATAAGAAGAATGGTGTAAGCTGGGCTGCGGTAAATACTTTTGCTGCTTAGTTTATTTACTGCTTTTTATATATGTTAATTTCGCAGGACTTCGTCCCAAAACTAAATCGGCCCAAAGACATTTCAGCCTTTTTCTATGTTAAGCAATACGTGAATTGCCGACCAATGACAATGTTTTGTTTTTATAATATTCATGTGATTCAATTTGCTTTGTAAGATAAAATATGCTCTGATAGTATCATGTTTTGCTGATGTCTTTCAGAGCTCTGGACTGATCAGCTGATGCGCATATGATGAGGCTTTAGAAAATAATGGAAGGAAATATCTAGCCGTACAGCTAGCCAAAAGTCCAAGCCATATGTGAGTCACTTACATGTATCTACCGTATATACCTACATTGGCAACCCACTATTACATACCATCTAGTCTTGAAATATCTAATTATAAATACCTACCTACACTTCTTGGCCACTATTACCTTCTATCTAGTCTTGAAATATATTATCAGTTTAAATATTGTTGACAGGTTATAATTATATTGCCCTATATAAACGGCTATTTGTAAATATAACCAGATCCCCTAGGCAAGGGTTATATTGCAAAAAAGCCATTTATATACAGCCATATAACCTTTCAGCAATCTTTATAACAAATTGATAATACAGGTAGCATCATTTTTTAGAGAAAAAAGTAAGATTTCTTTATGAATCAACAACAGCCGTGTATATAAAACTATATAAACGTCACCATTATCCAATGAAAAGTGACGTTACAAACGTGCAATATTATGAAATAAATAATACCTACCTACACTGCTAGCCTACTATCAAATACCATCTAGTCTTAAAATATCTAATCATTAATACCTACCTACACTAGTGGGCCACTATAACAAACTATCTAGTCTTGAAATATCTATTCATTTATTCCTACCTACACTAGAGGCCTACTATTAAATCTTATTCAACCTTACTATACCTCATTATAAACACCTACCTACACTGGTGAGCCACTATTTATACAAACTATCTAGTCTTAAAATATCTAATCATTAATACCTACCTACACTGGTGTCCCACGATTAAATCCTATATATCATTAACATATCTTACTAAAATACCTACCTACACTGGTGGGCCCACTATTACAAACTATCATGTCTTGAAATATCTAATCTTTAATACCTAACTACACAGGTGACCAACTATTTTATTCTATCTAGTTTTAAAATATCTTCTCATTAATACCTACCTGCACTGGTGGGCCACAATAACAAACCATCTAGTCTTGAAATATCTTATCATAAATACCTACCTACACTGGTGGGCCAATATTACAAACTATCTAGTCTTGAAATATCTTATTATTAATACCTACCTACATTGGTGGGCCACTATTACAAACTATCTAGTCTTGGAAAAGCTAATCATTAATACCTACCTACACTGGTGGGTCACTATTAAAATCTTATTTCAACCTTACTATACCTCATTATAAGTACCTACCTACACTGATGGGCCACTATCAAAAACTATCTAGTCTTGAAATATCTTATTATAAATACCTACCTACACTGGTGGGCCACTATTACAAACTATCTAGTCTTGAAATATGTTTATTATCTATACCTAGCTACACTGGTGGGCCACTTTTACAAACTATCTAGTCTTGGAAAATCTAATCATTAATACCTACCTACACTGGTGGGCCACTATTAAAATCTTATTCAACCTTACTATATCTCATTATGAAAACCTACCTACACTGGTGGGCCACTATTACAAACTTTCTAGTCTTGAAATATCTTATCATTAATACCTACCTACACTGGTAAGCCACTATTACAAACTATCTAGTCTTGAAATATCTTATTATTAATACCTACCTACACTGGTGGGCCACTATTACAAACTATAAACATTTAGGTAGATTTAATCACTTGTGAAAATTTCTAATATGATGGTTTAAATGTGCTGAAATTAAGGTTGTTGTAGACTAAAGATAATTTGGAATTAGATGAAATTACAATTTATTAGTCAGGTGTTATTGTGTTACATGAAATATGTTCATTATTGTAAGCTATAAGATAATTGTTCAAATGGTAATTGCCTTTAGATCACTTGTATCTCAGAGCTTTGAATCACAACAGAGACTTTGGGTTCTTTTAAGTGAGGAAGCCATCCAGCTAGCTAACTGAACCTCTGTGGTTCTACTCTGGTGCCTGTTTGTGCCTGAAAATGCACCGAAGGACATTTAGGGTCTTCTTTCATCAGTAAAGTTGGAAGGTTGCCATATGACATATACTCTGTTTGTGTGACTTAGAACTGAAGCAGAAAAAATAAGTAAATAAAATGAAAAGCTTAAACTAGGGTTGCATATTATACATTTATTATACTTGTATGATAATTATATGAAAATGGTTGAATCTCTTTTATTTAATGTGAGTTACAACTGTTTGTTGCAGGATTCGCTCTGGCCTGCCTGCTTAGCTCAATAGGGAGAGCATTTAATAAATAATCCAGGGTTTATAGTTCAACATTATCTCTCTCACTGCTGATTAAAAATTCATGTAGAAGTAGTAGATCACTTATATAGAAATTGGTAGTTACTAGTTAATTTTCCAGGTAAGTCATTTAGGTGAATCATCTGCAAAGGTATAAACAAAAAATAATGTGTTAAAATCTGTGTTAAAACCATCAAGACAGGAAATATTTTGTATCAAGTACTAAAATATCACATTGTGTTAATCTTACATGTAAGAGGTAATATCTATATTCCAGAGAGCTGAACAAGTTTGGTTGAAAATCATGGATGATTTTAGCAATTGTCATCAAAGAACTTCTGGTTACTGTTAAGTTTGATTATGAAACTATCAACTAACCACTTCCAAAACAAATTGCTTATTTGTGGATTTTAGGATTTCTAGGTAAGTAAATCATTTCTAAAACTAATTCCAACACCAAATGGTACAGTCTGGTACTTATGTAGGTTGGTCTTAAATGTCAAATGTATAACTTATTTCAGGATATTAGGCATTAAGCCATTATACAAATAAAATGTATATTTCCTGCCCCTTCTGTCTATATATAGGTTGGCTATTACTTTCAAGAAGTTGTTTAAAAAAGGAAATGCGTTCTTTTGTATACTACATGTATAAGAAAAAGAGCTGACAAAATTGGCAATCCGATATCAAATATTGTAGGCCCTAATAATGCAACTAAGTAATATATCCTGACCTTATGTCTAAACATAGGTTTGCTATTTTAAAAGTTGCAGATAATGTTAAATCTATTAATTTTGCAAGAATCAGGTGCAAGTAGAAAGCATGACAAGTCTGTTTTAAATAGCACTTTACCTGCTCAACTTGTGAAATAGATATTGACCTTGCTTTGAATTTAGAACCGCTAATTCAAAGTTAAGGTGAATCAGAAAATAAACTCAAAAATTGAGCTGCCAACAGTTGAGGACTTGGTAAGACTCCACGAAAGTGCAGGCTGGCCTGCTCTTTACTGTGACAAAGGCTAATGGCCCCATGTTCCACCAGGTTAAGGGTTCAAGTGTCTGGAAGAATGAGGGTTGCATATTGATTATTACACATGACATGTATTTAACTTATAAATATTTTGTTTCTCATGATTTTCTTTTGACATTAATTTTTTTTCTTCTTTTCAGGTCTGGTTAAGTATACAGTATGGAAGTTTTATATTAAGCGGATGTGAAAAACCAAATCAAGGGTAATGGATGACACCATCAATGAAACAGAGCAGAAATATAGCACAACTTTAACAATAATGACAATAGTGTACACAAACACAAGAAATGGATCAGCTTGAAATTAATGGATTTTTAGCAGTTTTAGATTTTTTTAAGTTACAGTTTGTTTCATATGTAAATGATGTTTTAAACATTAGTCAGAACTGCTTCATTCCATTGTTATAAGGTATATGTTGTAAAAGTTTGCTATTGTCAAATTTGTTACCTGTTTAAATAACTCTAATTATCACATAAACCATGGCACATGAGTGTAATAAAGCCATTTAATAAATCAATATTACTCTAGTGTAATAACACTTTGTCATGATGTCATAGAGTTATTGCGCGCTAATGTTAGCGTTACACTATAGGCGCGTCAATGAAAATGACTCATTTTAACTGAACAGAACAGAACAGAACATATCTTTTATTTTCACCCAAGCATTTTTCAATACAATATGGGGGCATAACACATTTTTTATATAACAGAGAATGCATAGTTCCGGTACGAACAAAAAAAGTATATAATCATTTAACACTGTACATTGCCAAAGAGAAAAAAAAAAAAACACACACAAAAAAAAACTTTACTAAATTACCAAAAAAAAAGTACAAACTATGGAATGATATATTGAGCAGGGGTTTGTTAACATTAAATCGATATACACCATTAATTTATTATTCTACGTGTAACTACATTTGAAAAAAAAAATAAGGAGGTTGTCTATTGTAATAATTTAAACAGGTATACAACACAATACGCACCTGTATGTATGTATAGCACGATATTACGTAAAAAAAAACAAAAAACATTAGCACAAACATGTAGTAAATCTGCACGTGAAAGTCGTGCATAACAGTTATCTACAACTGAAAGGAATGTCATTCATAGATTTATAATGTATTACTACGTGTATTGGGGAAATTCGAAATAGGAATCAATGGGACTATGTTGGATAAGATTTTGTCAGTAAAATGTGAGTAATGGCAATTTATAAATTTACATATAGATAATATGTACTTGTATTCCTAACAATAACAGACATCTGTTTTATGAAAAAATAACTTCATTTGTGAATAGAAAATTATACAGTATACAAAGAAAATGTTGAGAAAAAAATTAAACACGCAATTTAAAGGAAACAAACAGTTTAACAAGTGAGAAATATCAGATGAAATCTTGAATTACTGATGGAGGCATTAGGATTATTGGAACGTTTTTGTAATAGAATTAATGAATTTCACGAGGCTCCTTAAAACATGTATGTTATTTGACCCTAATAGTGATTTCAGCGAAAGTTCGCGTTCGTTTATTAAATTTACGTTTTGGAAAAAATGCTCTCTTTGTCTCCCGAAAAAACTACAATGTAACAAGTAATGCTGCTCGGTGCCAGTTTGATTGTCGCTACACAATGTGCAAATTCTCTCATTATAAGGAGTACCATCGTATCTCCCAATAACTATAAGCCGTTCTCGTTTTGGGTATGTGATAAATAGAATATTATATTTGTAACACATGGTGTTATAACACAGGGTAGATGTGGTAATTCATTTATTGTTTACATATACAGTCAAACTGAATATACAATATATCTTCTAAGTACTCTATTGAAGTCAACTTTTATCAAGGCACTGAAATGACATAATAATAACAATGTTTGCACATATAATATATACAATCAATAAACATAGTATTTAATAAACATCTTATTACTATAGACATTAAGATCACTAAATGATTATAGCCTTTGTACTCTTATGTTTTACCAGTTAAACATTACATGTATAATGTTTACATTATTACAAAAGGTATAAATACCAACATACTCTTATACTTACAGATCTATGGGATCTTAAGCCTATTCCACAATAAACCAATGACAAATTAGAATCTATAGCACTTCACTTCACATCACATACATCCTGTCTCACGTGATGGTTAACTGTGAACAAGATTAAAACATATAATACATGCTGGTTATAAAAATATAGAATTGAAAGAGAAAGTAAATGACTGCCATTTTGGAACATTCAACGCGCTGTAAAATACAACATTGCAACTAAACCGAATAATAAATAATCATTTCAGCCATCACAAAACTACCTTAAATACTTCTCACAAACACTTGGATAGCTCAACCAAATGTAAATCATATAGACAAGTTGAAATTAATAGAATGTTCTCTACATCAACCATGTAAACTCTTTTCAAAACCTGCACAACATTCCCGCCAAACTCTCGCGAGATCACAAAGAAAACAAGAAAATAAAAGACCAGCAAGAACTTATCAAAACCTAAAGAAATAAAACACCGGAAAGAGCTGACACGTTTCATAATACTGTCATACAAAAATATGACCCTGCTACATATTCGTATAGGTTCCATACTAAATTTATTGAACAAGTTTAATAAAACAATATTATGCTCGCCAGAGGCTCGTATAATATGATTTTATTCAACTCGTTCAATAAATTTAGTATTAAACCTTAGTAACATGTACACTCATCCAATATCCTCTCTTTAGGATGCTTTTTGAAGATTTACTGAAAGTAGCTTGTTTTTATACTGTAAATTAAAACTCATATTCATGCTATTGATATATTTTTTAAGAAACCTCTTTAAAGTTAAAGTAATGATATATGTACTTACACAAAATTAAATCCTTTTTATTTTTAAATTTTTAGCTCTTTATATCCGAAAACGCAATATTGGCGGTCCATCATGCAAAAACCCCGAAATAAGGGCCAAGTGCAATTTCGGGGCAAGAAAAACCCAAAATTGTGTTTTTTAAACAAAAAAAGTTAGTTTAAAATTTGGATGTGCCTTTAAAATTTAAAAAACACAAAAAAGGCCCCAAAAAGTCGCTTGCAACAAAAAAAGGAATTGCCATTGGGCTATTAAAAGGGCGGCCGCAAACGCCCCCGCAGAAGGTATGAATTTTTTAAAAACGCAGTTTTGTTTATTTTTTTGCGCCCCTTTTTTTTAAAAAATACTTTTTGGCTTTGTTGTGTATCGGGAAATTTTTTGACCCTTGATACATTTATTTTTTTCTAGGTTTTGCCCGTGCCCAAAGCATGTACAGAAAGAAGCATTACTAAGCTCCCCAGCTAAAAAACAGGGCGGACCGGAAAGTATCGCCAAAACTTTTTCCCCAGACGGCCCACGTTTGGGAGAGCCAAAAAAACACGTGGGTCAAGAAAAGTTCATTTGTTTTTTAAAACATCTCCGGGCCCCGGGGGAGATGCACATCGGTTTTGGGTTTTAGTTATTGTAAAAAAGCCCTTTAAAAAAATTTTTTAAAAAAGATGATTTCTATGATTTAAAATTTATACTGTATCGACTTAGACTAGTTATAGTAATTCTAACACAATATAATAAAAAAATTGGTCGGAGTACTTATAAGTTTCGTTTAGTGTATATTGATAGAAGTTATAATTGTAGCTGTTTAACCATTTATTTTTTTGATACTGGAGACAGATAATGTTTAACAATCGTAATTATTATATTTCTTTTTTGTGTGTGTTCTGACAACAGTTTTTGTGCATGCAGCAGTCTGTCCATCTGTTAGCTGGCAAATGTAAGCTTCAATATACAAATACTGTAGTTGTATGTTTTGTGCAAGGTCATTGTCCCAAAGGTCAAGGTTAGACTTGCGGGATATATTTTGATAAACTTCTGTAAAAAAATTCAAATTTTACCATATGAGAAATTTTATATTTCATGATGTATAACAATCTGTAAACACATTGTAAAAAACATACTAGATCAAACCCAAAAATTGGAACATTTTGTTCACCTCAGTGCAGTAACAGATTAACCCATTTACTGCATTAAATGATAAAATTGGTGTATTCTGTAAAAGATTTTGGGCCCTACTTCAATGTATTTCTGTTATAAATATAAAACACATACAGATTCAAACATATTCAAAGACTTAGGTAACTAAATGGTCAATTAAACAACATTTTCAGACACCCCAATTACAATGAGTGTGAAAATTTTAGCCAAAACTGTAGGTAGTAAATTTTTAGATAATAAGGACATTATTGTGATAATAATAGTCGCTCATCAATGTAGGTAGGTAAGAATTAATTTAGATATTTCAAGACTAAAAGTTTGTAATAGTTGCCCACCCGTGTAGGTAGGTATTAGTAATACGATATTTCAAGGGACTAGTAGTTTGTAATATTGGCCCACCAGTGTAGGTAGGTATTCATAATAAGATTATTTCAAGACTAGATAGTTGTGATAGTGGCCCACCAAAGTGTAGGGAGGTATTTATAATTTGAGGTATAGTAATGGTTTGGGAATAAGATTTTAATAATGGCCCAACAGTTGTAGGTAGGTTTATTAAGATTAGATTTTCCAAAGACTTAGATAGTTTGTAATAGCTGGCCTATCAGTGTAGGTAGTATTAATAATAAAATACTTAAAGACTAGGGATAGTTTGTAATAGTGGCCCACCAGTGTAGGTAGGTATTTATAATGAGGTATAGAAAGGTTGAATAAGTTTTTTGATAGGGGCCCACCAGTGTGGTGGGTATTAATGATTAGATTTTCCCAAGGACTAGATAGTTGTGTAATAGAAACCCACCAGTGTAGAAGCGGTTTATTATAATAAGATATTTTCAAGACTAGATTGTTTGTAATAGTGGCCCCACCCAGTGTAGGTAGGTGTTAATAATAAGATATTTCAAGACTATATAGTTAGTAATAGGGGCCCCCACAGTGTTAGCGGTAGTATTATAATAAAGATATTTCAAGACTAGATTGTTTGTTATAGTGGGCCCACCATTTGGTATGCTAGGTATTTATTAATAGATATTTTCAAGATAAGATAGTTTGTAATAGTGGCCCGCCAGTGTAGGTTTAGGTATTTATAATTTTGGAGTATAGTAAGGTTGAATAAGATTTTAATAGGGGCCCACTGTAAAGGGTAGGTATTAATGTTTAAATTTCCAAGATTTAAAATAGTTTGTAATTAGGGCCCCCCAAAGTGTAGGTGGGATTAATAAAAAAATTTTTCAAGACTAGTTTAGTTTGTAATTAGTGGCCCACCAGTGTAGGTAGGTTTTTCATAATAAGAATTTCAAGACTAGATATTTTGTGATAGGGCCCACCATTTTGTAGGAAAAGTATTTATAATGAGGTTTTTAGAAAGGGTTGAAAAAAAATTTTGATATTTGGCCCACCAGTGTAGGTAGGTATTAATGATTAGTTTTTCCAAAGGGACTAGATAGTTTGTAATAGGGGCCCAAAACCAGTGTAAAAGGGGTTTATTTAAAATAAGTTTTTAAAAAAGACTAGATTTTTTGTAATAGTGACCCATCAGTGTAGGTAGGTATTAATAATAAGATATTTCAAGATATATATTTAAGTAATAGTGGCCCCACCAGGTAGGAAAGGTATTTATAATAAATATTTCAAACTAGATTGTTTGTTATATGCCCCAAACCAGTGCAGGTAGGTTTTAAAACCAAATTAAGATTTTTTCAAGACTGGGATAGTTTGTATTATTGGCCCCCCATGTAGGTAGGTAAAATTTAAAAAGATATTTCAAGACTAAATAGTTTTAATAAGGGCCCCCACCGGGTGTGGGTAGGTATTCATAAAAAGATATTTCAAGAAAGATAGTTTTTTGATAGGGGCCCACCAATGTAGGTAGGTATTTATTTTGATTTAAAAATATTAAGGTTTGAAAAAGGTTTAATAGTGGGCCCCCAGTGTATGAGGAATTAAAAAAAAGGGATATTTCAAGACTAGATATTTTTGAAAATAGTGGCCCACCAGTGTGGGTGGGAAATTTATAATAAGATATTTCAAAAACTAGATAGTTTGTAATAGGGGCCCCACCGGGTGTAGGTAGGATTTTTTAATCAGATTTTTAAAGGGACTGGGATTGTTTGTAATAGGGGCCCACGGGTGTAGGTGGGTATTTTTTAAAAAGATATTTCAAGACAAAAATAGTTTGTAATAGTGCCCACCATTTTAGGTAGGTTTTATAAAAAAGAAAATTTTAAAGACTAATTGTTTTTTTTATAGGGGCCCCACCAGTGAGGTAGGTATTAAAATAAAGATTTTTAAATTTACTGGGATAGTTTGTAAAAATTTGGCCCCAGTGTAGGTAGGTTTTTTATAATGATATGTAATTTGAAAAAAGTTTTTAAATAGTGGCCCACAGTGAAAGGAGGTATTAATGTTTAGATTTTTCAAAGATTTAGATAGTTTGTAATAGTGGTCCATCAGTTTTAGGTAAGTTTTTCATAAAAAGGATATTTCAAGAATAGATAGTTTGTTATAGGGGCCCCCACCAGTTTTAAGGTAGGTATTCATTATAAGATATTTTCAAGACTAGATAGTTTATTTTAGGGGGCCCACCAGGGGTAGGTAGGTATTAATAATGATTTATAGTAAGGTTGAAAAAGATATTGTTTAGGGCCCCACCAGGTAGGTGGGTATTAAGGGATTAAATTTTTCCAAGATAAAAGTTTTTTAATAGTCCCCCACCAGTGTGGGTAGGTATTATATAAAAGTTTATTTTTAAGGCTTAACGGGAAATTAAAAAGGGGGCCCAGCAGTTGTAGGTAGAAATTATAATTGGATTTTCCCAAACTAAATATGTTTATCATAGAGGGGCACAAGTTAAGTTGGGAAATTAATAGTTAGGGAGGGGAAGGGACTAGATTGTTTTTTGTTTGGTTGTCGCCCATTTTTGGGGAGGTAGGTAAAAAAAAGAGATATATGGGGAAATTTAAAATGATGCAATATTTAGCCACCAGTTTTACTTAGTTAATATCTAAAAGATTTTTAAGGGGAAAAAAGTATGATTTTATATGGTAGAAAATTAATAATTGGCTATATAAATTTAGTTATTTTTAATAAGTTTTTAAATTCATTTAACTTTTAACTTTTCATATAATTTTTTAAATTTTCAAAACAAATACTTTATTTCAATCATGTAATGAGAGTTTTCCCTTTTTTATATATGAATATTTTGTTTGAGAGCGGTTTAATACAATTTTAAAAAGGGGACCATACACATTTGAAAAAGTACTTATATTTACCCTCCACTTATTCCCCAAAAGATTTTAACGTCTTATTTAAAAATAAATCCAATGCATTTAAAAATTTTGAAAACCATGCAAAAATTTGCCATAAAATACTTCATTTTTAATTTCCCTAAAAGTTTTTATTTATTTTCTATTTTTTTCCCTTTTTAAAATTTTTATACCGTTAAAAAATACCTTCTATTTTGATTTGCAGTTTTTTTATATGCAAACATGATTTTGTTTCTGAAAAACTGTTAAAACACAATTTTCCACTATCGGGGTATTTTTGTATTTTAAAAAAAGGGAAAACTTGAGATTGGTCCTTGCTATATTTGTTAAAGAATTTCAATTTTTCAATTTTGCATTTATGTGTTAATAAAAAAGGGTTTAGGATTCAACTTTTTGTTTTTGTTATTTACCTAATGATCCCTTTTTTTTTATTTTACAAATGTTTTTTGCAAAAAAGGTTGGGATTTACATATTTTTTAGGATTGCCTATTTATCCAGTGGCCATTTTTTTGAGGAAAAAAAAACGACAATATATTGGAAATTTTCTTAAATTTTCTTTGTTGTCTTTGCATTTTCCCTTTTTTG